CTGACACACTTGCTCATCCACTGCCAGTGGGCATGCTATCTGACACATTTGCTTGACTTCCTTTGCCACCCTTCACTAAAGGAACTACTTGCCAACTGATGACATAGGAATTTCAAGGTGTAACCAAGAAAAATAAGAACACATATCCACAGAAGTTTAAGTATGCAAATCATCGATGGCTGCCAATATCAGAAAAAGAGAGCTAGCCATTGTGTGTCTCCTGGCGCAAGTGTACGATACCACCCAAGAGGTGGTACTGGAAAAAAGAGGAAGAAAGAAAATGGTGAGACAAAAGTGGGGGAAAATGTTTAGATTTAATTATATTTGAAAGTAGACGACACAGAAGAGCATGTTTAATAGCACTGTGGGAAGGTATAAGTAAAATTTGAGATGGAGAAAGCTTGAGAGAAAAAAACTAAACCAAAAAAATCTCTTCAACAAATACTGAGACTAAGGAGAGAAAAAGAACCGCACTGAATAAAGTCTAAGACTCAAATGAAATGTGTCAGTCTAGTTCTGCTCTCAACGTGAATAAGCCAGTCATTTAAAATGAGGAAAACAGCATATGCATATATGCTACTTTAATAATAAATATTATCATTTATTATATTATATGTATTACATATAAATAAATATGTCATATTTATTATATTATAAGTAATATAGTAAGAAGTAAGAACAGATACTCAAATAAATACATGTGCACGCCCTCTTGTGACACTAATCAAAAGGCAGAAGCAACTGAAATGCCCATCAATAGTTGGATAAACAAAATGTGACATATATATGGAACATGATCAAAATTATCCTACTAAATAAGAGAAGCCAGACACAAAGATCGCATATTATAAGAATAATTCTGTAAGAAATAGCAAATCTAGGTGTGGTGGCACATACCTGTAATCCCCACATTGGGGAGACTGAGACAGGAGGATTATAAGTTTAAGGCCAGCCTGGACCACATAGCAAGGCCTCACTTTTCTATGCAGGGTAAGTAAATTCACAAATTCAGAGTGCAGTCTGTGACTGCCAGGGTGGAGTGCAGAGGGAGTGACAGAGACCGGTTTCATCATGAAAGGTGGCGATAATTAATGGCGCGAAACAGAGATGCTGATTATATGATAATTGTAATGATCTGTCCTAAATAATAATCTTATATTATATGAACTTCAGCCAATTAGAAACCAAAAACGCAGGGCTAGAGAGATGGTAGCAGTTAATAGAGAATACTGTTTTTCCAGAGAACTCAAGTTCAGTCGGCAGCACTTGGAACAGCCAGCTCTAACAGCTCTGGTCTCTGTGGGCACCAACACACGCACGCATGCACACGCACACACACTTAAAAATAAAACTAATATTAAAAAAGCAAAGCCAGAAGCAATGAGATGTTTGGGGGAATTCTGAGTGGTATCTAGGTCTCTGGCATACTGAGAAACTTCTGCTAGTGTTTTTGACATGGCAATGACACTGGGGTTGGAATCTGTAAGAGTCTTTTAGATTGGTTGGCTTGATTTCACTCAACTCACGGATGCAACTGTAATGTCTGGTATTGGCTTCCTCAAAATAATCCAGTGTAGGGCAAGCGGAGGGGTCACGTGACTACTGATACGACAACTCGCAAGTTAATGAACTCCCAAGAGACTCCATTTCACTACTTTCTCTACGCTTATATGTGGTTGAAGTTTCATATAATGCAATTTTAAGATTTCTTTTCAAATATAAATAAGAAATTAAGAATTAGGTTGGATTGGTATTGCTTAGAAATTTGTTAGGCCGCTCTTGACAATTTGCTATGTAAAATCTAATCTAGTCTCAAGTTTAAAGGAAGAAACATGCTTGGTACCACACTGAAGCAAACAAACAAAAGACACCAAAAACAGATGGCGGAGCTAAGGATGGCACTACTGCTGTACTACGCATTCTCTCTCTGCCCCTCCTCTCTCTCCACCCACTCTACCTTTTCCTCTCTCCTCCCTCTCCTTTCTCTCTCCCCCTTTCTCTCCCTCACTTCTCTCCTCTATCTCTCCCTCTCTTCTCTCTTCCTCTTCTCTCTCTTCTCTCTTTCTCTCCCTACCTTTCTCCCTCCTCTCTCTTCCACTCTGTGTGTGAATGTGTGTGTGTGTGTGTCTGTGTGTGTGTGTGTGAGAGAGAGAGAGAGAGAGAGAGAGAGAGAGAGAGAGAGAGAGAGAGAGAGAGAGATTTATGTGAATTGGTGTTTTGTCTGCATGTTTGTCTGTGTGAGGGTATGGGCTCCTGTGAAACCGGATTTACAGACAGCTGTGAGCTGCCATGTGGGTGCTGGGGATTGAACCTGAGTCCTCTGGAAGAGCAGCCAGTGCTCTCAGCTGCTGAGCCTCCTTCTCAGCTATACTATGCATTTCTGAGAAAGAATTTTGTATTGGAGTTTTTTGCTTTTGGAAACTGGCTTTGAGCAACTGTGATAAGGATCTTTTCATAAAATGAGAAGCTAAAGATTTATTAAGCTATTTTACGTATGCAAGTGCACTGTCACACTATCTTCAGACACACCAGAAGAGGGCATCAAATCCCTTTACAGATAGCTGTGAGCCACCATGTGGTTGCTGAGTCTTGAACTCAGGACCTCTGGAAGAGCAGTTAGTGCTCTTAACTGCTGAGCCATCTCTCCAGCCCCTAGATTGAATATTACTGAAGAATGTCCAGGCTGGGTGTGCACAGCCAAGCTGTCCACTTCATTGTTCTCAAGGCTCAGAGAGGGCCACATGACTTACCAAGTCATTATCCAAAGACTCAAAGTAATATTTTTAAAAATGAAATTACAGAAAAATTATCATCTTAATGCCACAATTCAAGCAGATTTCTAGTTTCCTCTCAGACTAATCTTAAACTTAGGGATTTGACTTTCCTTATCCATAAACATTAGTAAATGAAATATGAATGTTGTACATATTTTACTAATTGTAAGCAAGTTTCTCTATTAATTTTCAGTAAAATGATTTGAAGTAGTTGGGGTTTTTTGAGGACTGTTGTTCGTGGCCTTACATTTACCCATTCATTTTTCTCCAATCTGGGACTCACATCACTTTCAACCCTTTATTTCTATACATAAAGTGGATGTGAGCAGGAGTACATAGAAAATCTAACTGCTGTTAGGATTCCCATCAAAAATCACATTTGACTTTCTAAAAAGATAAAATATTCTATCAAAATCCGTTTTCCCTCTTGGAAAATCTATATAGGAACAAAATAGAGTACATTTTTCCCACTCTATGAATTGAGCTCTTGAACAAAATTATAAAATATCCAGGAAGGTTGACAGCCATCCTATTTTGAGCTAAACAATCTCTGTAATGCATAGAGGTAGAGAAAGACTGGAGTGTACGCTACCTCTTGGAAGGCCTTTTCTGCTTGACGTTCCGCATCTATAACTTGTCTCTCCAACTGTTGCATCTGTAGGTGAGGGAGGATAAAAAATACACAAATATTTATATTTACCATTTTGGAAAAGACTTTAAATCCCACAATGTCATCAATTCTTAAAAATAAATGAAGTAGTCCATTGAATATGAATTACAATTAGCAACATTCAAAAGCACTCGATATTGATGAAATGCCAAAATTTTGATACTTTGAACACTGTAGTCCATTAACTGGCGACTTGGTAAGCGTTGTTTGGTAGTTCACAGAATTGGTATCACTCATGTTTTCCTTCTTCAATATGGCATTTCATATACTACACGAATGTTCATCAATTGATTAGAAATTACTGGTCAATACATATTAAGAACAATAAAAAGACAGACTACCTTATTAGGCAGGTTTTTTTGCTTGTTTATTTGTTTTATTTGTTTGTTTGTTTGTTTAAAAAAAGCCATAATTAAACCAAGGAAGTATGTATTCTCACAAACTCACTGGATGGTTATCCAGTGAGTTACAGCTGTGGCAGCCTGGATGTAGTCTTACAGATAGATGAATAGAAAAAGTATTAAGCACAAATACCTAAATAAATACAGAAAATACAATACAAAAGTCCTTCAAAGATCCAGTAGTGATTAAGGAATGTATGCCAGGTGTTGAATACACAGCCATGAGGTGAAATTCAAGTCTTTTTTCTCTTGAGGCTGTAGTTTGACCAAGTTAAGAGTGGTCTGCTGTTAGATCTGTGCTCACTTTCACTCTTTCCCAGGACTGTTGGTACGGATGTCCAGAACTCATGGTTAACTTCCAACTCTCCACACCCCAGGGCAGCCCCCGCCCCCAACCCTGGAGGATCAGCCGGCCGGCCCCGCCCACTCCCAGCATGACCACTGAGAAGCGCTGCTAGCCTTGCGGGCTAGAGGGGCAAGCCAGCCCCAATCAGCGGACATCCCATGCTTTCCTATCCGCCCCCCTACAGGTTCTCAAACTTAGGAGCCGAGGATGCTTCATTCTTAAAGGGTTCGTTGACTGGGACCATTTTCTGGGCTTTGTCCAGATTCACATTTAACACAGGGTCTCACAGAAGACCTTCGCCCACTTCCCAGCCAAGGCCTCAACATTTCAAAAGGGATCCTGATACCCATGTAAAGCTGGCACAGTGCTCCTACGGGGAGATGGAAGTCAGAATGAGACTCTACATAAGCTTTTGAACTGGCTAGTCTGGTATACCCTGAAGTGAACAAAAGACTCCACCTCAAACAAGATGGGAGATGAGGACTGAAACCTCCACCCAGCCACTATAGTACACATACATCTGCACTTACACAAACATGCACACATACATCATACAGATACACACACACGTGCATCACATACATACAAATACCCCCACAAAGATTCACTAAAATGTTTTGCTTTCTAGTGATAACAGGAAGGGCATCATTTCGTCTCTATTGTTGTGAAACATGGTTGTAAGGCAGTGGGGGTGCACACCTTCAATCCCAGCGCTTGGGAGGCAGAGATAGGCAGATCTCTAGTACAAGTCTTCATACATAGTAGATATTGAGTGTCATAGACTATTGATGAAATGACAAAGATCTGTAAGTCTGTGTATTCAAAGAACGGCCGTGATGGTTAGTTCTGATTGTTAGTGTGTCTGGATACAGATACTCCCAGGGGACTAGTAAAGCATACTTGTGTCTGAGAAGTTATTTCCAGAGATGGTTAGATCACATGCCCGTCCATACAAACACATAGCACTTTAGCTATGTGCTACTTTGATATACAAGTAGGCGAAATTTGTTGCTAGGTGTGAAAAGATGTATGTATGCGTGTATCTTTAAATGAATTAATTAAAACCATAGGTTCAAAGGTCACTTTCGTTATTTTTGATTAAACAAAAAGTGGTCTATGAAATATTAAGGGAAGAGTAAAAAGGAAAAGAAGAAAATCCATGAATTTGGAAGCAAGATCTAAATTAGAACCCAGACTCCACTGGATATGAATGGTGTAATGACAGATAATTTCTTTAATATAGCAAAGTTTCCATTTTTTTGTCAGTAAAAAGTAACTTTTATCCTTGTATATTTAAATTAAAATTGAGTAGTAAGACATCTAGCATAACGTTGAATTGTATTTGTTACAGTTAAAATTTAAACTGTGTCACCCAATCTTGCTTGTTGTTACTGGCCGCCATCTTCCTGACTAGGCAAGGCCTGAGGCCATGAGAGGCGGAGTGCTCCCACCTCTGGCGCTGCTCAACTCTGACTGCAGCTCATGCTGGCCAAAGCACTGGCCCTGGCACCCACGAGACTCTAGCGTGGGAGATGGCTCTGCCAACCTATCACACTGTCTCCACAATGCTTGACTGAGCCCAGACCATCCCGCCATCCATGCAGTACCCGGTAGGAATGAGACTCTAATGCTTAAAGATTATCTAAAGGCTTTATAAATTTGGTAATGCTCAAATAACAAGATGCCCACAAAATTGGAGGTGTTACCCAATTAACTAACCTAGATATAAGTTGTTACCCAGGATTGCTCTCAATACGTGGCTCTCCATGGCTCCTACATCTCTTCCCTTGCTCCTCTCCTCTCCCTTCTCCTCTTCCTCTCCTCCACTCCTCCCACCTTAGCTCCTCCCAAATTACCCATTTTATTGTAAAAATGTAACAGGGGGGAATATTCTACTACATGTATTAGTAGGTGCTCAACTTTTACACAGTATCTTTTATAGCAGTGTATTTCTAGCATACACAAGCATTGCTTTATGAATTACAAGTTGAGATGGTTCGTGTTCAAATGCACTAAGTACACACAAGAGGTCTGGGTTTTGGTTCTTACAATACTACTTTACCAAGAGTTTTCCACTAAGTTTTGTAATTCCTATGTATAAAATGGGGATAGTACAACCTTCTCTATTTCAAAATGAGAGGCTGAAAATGAGAGAGCAGGTGACCTCGATGTGCAAGGGTTTAAGTTTTCAGTAATTAAAAACATGGCTGTCGGGCAGTGGGGGGCGCACACCTTCAATCCCAGAACTTGGCAGGCAGAGACAGGCAGATCTCTGAGTTTGAAGCCAGCCTGGTCTACAGAGTGAGTTCTAAGACAACCAAAGCTACACAGAGAAACTGTGTCTCAAAAAACTGACTCCCATTTAAAAGGCAAACTGATAACCCATGATTCTAGCATTAGCAATGTTATAATTTGGAAGGCAAAAATGACAGTGTCTGGCTTGAGGGTACAGCTCAGTGACAGAGCATTTATCTAGTATGCATAGGCCTTAGGTTCCAGTCACACACACACCACTCACCAAGGCAAGGGGAATGGAGAAAGGAGAAAAGAGATCTGCCTAAAAACAAACTATTGTCTCTAAATATATATAAATAGTAACACATTCACACAGTTAGATACTCTATAGTCATTATAAATTGTGTAGCTGGATGAAACTTTTTAACTCTGGGAGCTACAGATCTGAATCCAGACGGACTGACTGGTCCTGAGCTGATAAGCGTTAAATCCAGATGATACACACATGAGGTGCACTTCCATGAGGTGAAAATGTATCTCCAATAAGAACTTTTAAACATCTATGTGAAAAAGTATCATGACATATTTAAAGACAAAGCAGGGGCTGCGTGTGTGTCTCTGTGGTAGAGTGCTCCGCTAGCATACGGAAAGGTCTTGGTTTGATTCTCAGCCACAAAAAATAGACAAATATAAATTATATATGGAATGACATGTAAATAATGTTACCGGGAAAGTTTGTAAAAAAGAAAAGGTTAATAAATATTTTAATTTATATAGAAAAAAATTGTGTATTTGTTTTTATGGAATAAGATACACCTATATGCCAAGGAGCTGTCTAGTTGTCTATATTTATATAATTAAATTTCGAGTCATGTAATTTGTATCTTAAGTGATAAGTAAAGGGAGAGTTAATTTCATTTTAAAAGAGTATAATGCCACCCCCATCCACTCCTCCATTTCTCTTCAGAAAAGGGCAGGCCTCCCAGGACATCAACCAAACACAGCATATCAAGTGGCAGTAAGACTAGGCACCTCCCCTCATAGTAAGGCTGGAGGAGACAACTCACTATGGGTCCCTAAAACCAGCAAAAGAGTGAGAGGCAGCCCCTGCTCCCACTGTTAGGAGTCCCACAAAAAGGCCAACTGCACAACTGTAACATATATGCAGAGGGCCTAGGTCAATTCCAAGCATGCTCGCTGGTTGGTGGCTCAGTGTCTGTGAGCCCAGGTCAGGTGATTCTGTGGGTTTTCTTGTGATGTTCTTGACCCCTTTGACTCATCCCCTGTGGATCTCTGAATCTGTTTCCATCAGTTGCTGGATGAAGCCTCTCTGATGACAACTGGGCTGATCAGGAGGAGAAGAGGGAGGGGAAACTGTGGGGGGGGGGTTAAAATAGTGATGATGATGATGATGATGATGATGATGATGATGATGATAATGATGATGATGATAATCATCTAATAATCTACTAAAGAGCACTCGGCCAGTGCTAATGGATGTGGGACACAGATGTGGAGGAGGACCTCCAGGGCACCTTTCGTTGGGTTGAGTATGCAGCGCGAAAGCATCGCCATGTAGGATGGACATGATTTTCAGTTATTTTCACATAGTAAAGCTTATTACTAAAGACCAAGAAAAAAGTATAATGGAAGAGAAGATAGAAGTTTCCTGCATTAGAAACAATAGTCACTTGTTACGGTTGTAATAGTCAAAGGAAATTTTGCTGCTTCAGCGAAACAGACAATTGAAGAAGATTCTAAAGTATTTTGTGGGATTGAAGGGTAAACGGATAATGTACACAAAGAACTGAGTGGCTGAGCATCTCAGAGATGTCACCTGGGAGGGCACCACTGAGGATTATCAAGTCCCAGTAATCACTGTGCGATCACACAACGAGATAACTATTTACAGCCAAGAGTCTTCACAAACTAAATTAACCAGGAAGAAGAGCAAAGTAAACTCCAAGGCCAACAAAACAGGGGAATCTGATAAAGATTACAGT